CATCATCATCATCATCATCATCATGACCATCACCATCACCATCAACACCGTCATCATCACTACCAACAACACCACCATCACCACCAGCGCGCAGTCGCACGGTCACGCAGTAAGAGGCGAACGTAACTGCCCCACCCCACCCCCCCAGCCCCAGGACGCAGTCGCACGGTAACGCAGCAAGAAGCGAACGTAACTGCCCCACCCCACCCCCCCCAGCCCCAATACGCAGTTCCACCGTCACGCAGTCAATTACCCCCTTCCCCAGCCCCAGGATGCAGTCGCATGGTCACGCAGTAAGAGGCGAACGTAACTGCCCCACCCCACCTCCACCCCCACCCCCAGGACGCAGTGGCACGGTCACGCAGTAAGAGGCGAACGTAACTGCCCCACCCCACCCCCACCCTCACCCCCAGGGCTCAGTGGCACGGTCACGCAGAAAAACAGGGAACGTAACTGCCCCACCCCACCCCATCCCCCCAGCCCCAGGATGCAGTCGCACGGTAACGCAGCAAGAAGCGAACGTAACTCCCCCACCCCACCTCCCCCCCCAGCCCCAATACGCAGTTCCACCGTCACGCAGTCAATTACCCCCTTCCCCAGCCCCGGATGCAGTCGCATGGTCACGCAGTAAGAGGCGAACGCAACTGCCCCACCCCACCCCCACCCCCACCCCCAGGGCGCAGTGGCACGGTCACGCAGTAAGAGGCGAACGTAACTGCCCCACCCCACCCCCACCCGCAACCCCACGGGTGCCGCAGGATAGCCCCCCCATGTGTTCGAAAATGACCCACTCTGTGTTCGAAAATGATCCAGGACATCGGTGATCGAAAATGATCCAAAATCGGTGTTCGAAAATGATCCCCCTCCCGCGTGGACGGGTCGTCCAAGATAGCTTCAAGGCCTTCGAAGAAAGCCCGCGGTCGCGCATGCACGCGCACTCGCACGCGCACGCGCGCCTTGACCTGCACCTGCACCTGCGCATGCGCATGCGCACGCGCACGTGTATGCGCAGGCACCACACACACACACACGCAGATTTGTATTTCAATTTCACAATAGTTTTGATCAGGGCAAGTTGTATAGTTTGTTAGAGGGCTGGTTGTGCTTTTGCCAAACGCCCACAGATTGAATTTGCTGAGCTCGCGGGAAATCTGTCGATTTGTTCCGTCCGTGACTGGCGAGCTCTCGATTTGTCCCAAACGCCAGGCCAAGTGGCTTCGAGTAGCTACAGCCAGAACCAGAACTTTTGATCTAGTTCAAGCCTCCCGGGTTTCGTGCATTTCGCGCTCACACAAAGACGTCAGCCATCTAGACATTCCTGTGTTTACGAGGGTGTATGCACAGCCCCAGGATGATTGCAGCCTCAATTTTGGTTAGACTGCACGGTTCGGTGCCTATTCTTGGTGCCCGAGTTGAGAACGTAAGAGCAGGACTCCATGAGTTTTGTGCGAGCTCTCAAGGAACAAGCTTCATGTGTTGCATTGTGTGTTTCAAAATTCTAGCTGCTTTATCCAATCATGCGAGCCCGAGCCGTGAACTGCTTTGCTGTCGATTCAATCGCGCAAAGTTGCTGTCCATATGTGGATCAGCCCAGCCTCGCTGCTAATCCTCCGCGATATCAATTCTTCAAGGCGTCTACCACTAGCAGAGCCCTGCATTTTGGACTTGTACAATACCATCCTATCTGGTTGACATGGACACAGTACGCTTGCGATCCCACCATCTTTGCTATGTTTGACTGCCCGTGGCTGCCTTTGCGCTGAGAAAGGACAGCCTTTAGAGAGTTTGCCAGCGGCAGTTCTTTCTACCCAGCGCCGGCAGTTCTTTCTACCCAGCGCCAAGTGATCAGTCAGGGAGTTAACAAAGCGGGTGATGTAGCAAACATCTTCACCATGTGCGTTCCGCAGTGCCAGCTGAAAGGTTTATTGGCTACTTTCAACCGTAAGTCAAGGTTTTCTGCGTGACATTCACAGCTGCAGGCTTGAAATGCTGCAAGCCCGCTTGTGCAATCAGTCTACCAAAAAAGAACCGCGCCTGTTTGTCAGGCGTTCCACTCATGTTCAGATTTCCAGTGCTTGTTGCACAGGTTTGCAGAGTTGGACATATGGCGATTGTTCAGATGAAAAACAGAGTTGCTTCGGCTTTCTAGCCAGAAGCATTCTTCACACGCGGCTTTTTCACTTGAAGAATTTGTGGGAGGCGGCTTTTCTCGTCAGTGTGACCTCTGGGGCGTCATTGAACCAGGAGGACCCATCCGATCTCCAACAGTTCCAGGAGGCTAATTGCCTCCTGTTCCAAGCTTCGACAATCACGAAGCGGCAGAAGAGTTGGTCCGGCAGAGCTGTTGGTTTAGGTTTCTCTTTCTTTCTTAGATTGCTTGGCCCAGCTGCCTCCGAACTCAACAAAAACAGAAGAAACAAACAAAAACACAGAACACCATCTGCAACAAGCCCTCGAAACTCCAGGTCTGACTTGAGATCCAGAAGAAACATGGTCAGATCACAAGTCACTCACAAGAGGGGGGAGAACAGCATACTTACCCCCAAGTTCAGTTCTCTGAACTACTTTAGCAGACATGCAAGAAGAATCAACTGAGCTATCCCGATCAGCCGAAGTTTCGTGGACTTTGAGGTAGATGGTTTTATTTGGTCATATTGAGCGGTACATGGATCGCTTGTGTTGAGCCCACAGTTCTGCCCAAGCCTCTGAACACTTCCGACTCCCTCGGTGGCTGAAGCTCCTTTTTCGGGGGCCCGTGTCGGGCTCTGGAAGGGCCTAGATGGGACCCCGGTGGACCACGAGCGAATGGAGTGAAGGTGAGACAGGGACAGGGGCAACCGCCAGGTTTTGATTGTGCCGCGTGCTTGCCCCTGTGGAGATTCAGGCCTGGGTCGGCGGCCTGGGTTGCGAGGGAAAGGAGCTTGTTCCGTCGCCGAGCTCCGGCAGGGTGCCTGTTTCACTTTCGAAAGGCTTGCCGGTCAGCGACGTGTTCCCGTCAAGGCGAACCGCAGAGGTTGTTCCCTGCACAGTTTGCTCCTGAAGGAGTTTGGGAGGCGTGGGCTCCAAGTTCGCAAACAAAAATCAGTGGCAGTCGGCCCTCAAGAGCCGTTCCGCTACCCAAACGCCACTCTGTTTTTGCAGACCCTGCGGTCAAAGCCTTGACATGTGGCTCCAGAGATTTGGCGACTGGCCTAGTGATTCGGGTTGACAGGGAGGCGTCCATGACTAGGCAGAGAGGACAAATCTTGGAGCCACACCGTTCAGAGCAGAAAGAGCCCGCCTCCTGCAAGGGTGGCGAGCGTCTGCCAGTTTGCACGCAAATGTTCATCTCTCCCCGTCCGTTTCGGGAGCTCGAGCTGAACATTTGGGTTTCTCGCGATAGCCCTTCAAAGTGCTTCGGTTCCATGGAGGATTGGGGTTGCCGAGCGAGATGACTGGTGCGCCTTGGTTCAGTAGGGTCTGTCATTTGAGTGAACTGGCGCCACTCGGATTCTTTACTTCGGGCTATGCATTGCTGGCCCAAACAAGGGCGTGATTTCAGCTTCCATTGCCTGGCAGACAGAAACATAGCCTGTTTCCTATCTTTCCGTAGGGAAACTCTGACAACCCGCTTGCTGTTACCACAAATCTCCAGAGTCATGGTCACACTCGCACATACTGGTTTGCTTTGCAGGTATTGGGATCACAATCAATAGTGTCCTTTTTAGGTTGGTTTGGCTTAGATGGGTTCCACTGGTTCAGATTAGTTTCATGCCATTTACCAGGGAACCCCATCTATTTTACAAAAAAATGCTTTGACCTTTCACGCAACAGTTTGGTTGATGTAGATTCCACTTGGCGCATAGGTCGCCAGCGAAGTATTCCCCCTACCTCGAAGTTTTCTTTGGAAGTTTTGGGCCTTTGGTTTTCTCGGTTTCCCCTAAACGCACTGTGAACAATTGACATTCTTGTTTGTGCACAGAGGTTAAGTGAATCGCAGTCATGGCTAGCACCTTGCCAGGATTGTCCATATGAGGTTTGGCCAAAGTACTGTATGCAGCTCTACTCATCTATCAAAGGACATGTCGTGGAGAATCCAGGAATCCCTGTCAGATCTGGCGACACTTAAGCTTTGCCCATGCTTTTTGCTGTGTCTTTTTTCGCTCCAAGAATCGGGCGCTTTCCTCTTTCAGAAAGACGTCGCGTTTTGAACCGAAATCAGAGACCAGCGTGCACCAGACAGACATTTCTGGACTTGCCTTGAGACCTCGAACACGTTCGTCTCGAAGCGAGCCAAAAGAAGGCAACATGAAGCGTGGCTTCACCCAATGGACCTGGGGGTGCCGTGCAAGTTTTGGCTCGTCGTATCAATAATCAGTTGGACTTGATTGGTGGACATGAGGACTTTCCACCAATTCTTGAGGGTGTTACCCATGATGTGCCTCTTTCAGGGGACCCCCCAAAATAGTAATTATGAATAATAAAACGGTGGGTTTCCTGTTGGCTTTCTTTTAGCCAAGCCCAAAAAGGGTACCCTCAAAAAAGACAGACCAATTATGTTCACGTGCTGTTGCTTGCCCCAGATCTTTGCTACGCGATGTCTTACCGGCACCTCCTGCAAGATGCGTGACTTGAGAAAGGTGCACGCAGTTGTGCCTTGAGCAGTCCCTGTTGGGGCTACTCCCCTTGAATCCCCGTGGCTGCGCCATTGGGATTTCTCTTTATGGGGAAGCTCGCCTTGGCCGCTCAGCGGTCAATGGCATGGTTGTGGAGAACTTTGAAGGTGATAGATGTAGTTATGGGAATTCTGAGTGTGGAATCCCTTGAATGAGCACCGGGTAAAGCTCATTTTTATCGGTATTACTCGTGCGTCACCCATGGCTCACGGCTGGACTTGGGGAGCCCAAGGTGCCCAAGGCGCCTTGGTGGGGGGGGGTCCCTCACTGAAAAGCGGAGTTGGGGGACTGTCGAGCTTGGCTCGCGGAAGGGGAACAATTAATTTTCAGCGGCTCTTGCGCAAGATGCTGGTGCCAAGAGGCAATGCCCTTCCAGCGGCATGCGCCGCAGGGAGCCACCGGATCCGAAGAAGTTGCAGGATCCGGCTGCAGGAGTGCGCGCTTTGTAAGACGAGGCGACGAAGCTACAGTCGCTTGAGAAGTTCGAGAGGGTTGGCCATAAGTTGATCCATCGCTCGGATGAGACGCTCGGCTATGCTCCGCCACTTGAAGAAAGGCGGAAGATCATTGTGAAGACGGCGGCGATGGTAACCAGGCCTGTCTAGACAAGGCGATGCAGAGTCTCTCAACCAAGGTTCTGGGAGCTACAGGGGGAAGAACTAGATCTACCTGGTCAGCTTCACAGAAATGGAGGGAACCAAACGTGAAAGTGGAAAACAAGAATGAGGAGGAGGAGGAGCAGGACGAGGAGGAGGAGGAGGAGGAGGAGGAGGAGGAGGAGGAGGAAGCGGGGCCGCCGCGAAAACGCGGCAGTCCCTCTCTTTGTGCACTCACTCATCTACCTGTCTATTCGTTTGTCTGTCTATCCGTTTGCCCATCGTTGTAAGTCATCCTGTTCTGACTTGATCTAATCTAACCTAACCAGCCCATTTGTTTATCTGTCTGTCTATATTGATCTATCTCTCTGCCCCTCCGTCTCCCTATCTTTCTACGTCTGCTTGTTTCTCTTTCTGTCTCTGTCCCTTCATCCACAACACAAAGCTTTGTACCTAATGTGTAAATCTAAATCTCTATCTTATTACCTATCATTCACCTATCATTCTATCTGTCTTTCCTTGTATCTATCTATCTATCTATCTGTCTATTTATCTATCGATCTACCTTTCCCATTAAAGCCCCTCCAGCGCGTGGAGCCCATCACGTTCACCCGTTAGGTTGAGCCCGTCACACAGGCCCGTCGGGCCCGTCAAATCCGTGAGGGCCCGTCAAGCGCGTCAAACCATGTGGGGCCGTGTGGGCTTGTGTCCCAGGAAATTGAATTCCAAGGCAGGACACACTCATAGAAATCACGGCTTTTGGGCGATTGTCCACAACCATGGCCAATGCCCCAAAAAGGGCCATGCGCTTTCGCAGCGCTAATCGTGGGCGGTTCAGCTCAAAAAGGCGCGCCTGAGCGTTGGCAGAGGAAGAGCGCGATTTGGCCATGATTTGCTGGAGGGCCGGGTCAAAAAGTGGTTGGTGGACATGGATGCGCAAAAGGGTCCCTACTTAAGGTTTGTTTATACTCATTGAGGGCATCGACGCCTGAATGTTGTGCAGGCGCGGGAAGAAGTGTCAGTGTCACTCTCATTTGACAAAGCTACTCCTCCAACGGACCTCGGAATTTCCCAACTTTAGGGAAACGCGCGACTGCGTGCTCAACATGAGCTAGAGCACTTGGAGGCCCTTCCTGGCAGGCGGCTCACGTACTTGATTGTTGAGCTGCATCGCTTTGCGCTGGTACTCATGCAAGAGACAGGTACGTTCCGGAGGATCCGAGCTCTATTCTTCTACACCGCTGGTATTGAATCCGTCAAGACGATCACAAAAGCAAAGCCTCAGTGTTCCTTCAGGCACGTTCTGTAAGACCGCAGCATGTACGGCGTGTTGTCTCCACAACGACGCTCGAGGTGATTGTGAACAAGTGTTGCAAAATCAGCTCCAATCCTGACAGCGTGATTTGTGATACTCCGCTCTACATTGGAAGCGCCTGTGTGAGGAAAGAGGTCACTGGCAATAACAAGTATTGCGAGGGATGCTATCTCCAACGCCAATGTAAGAAAACTCATTGGAACGCCGTGACAAGTGGCACCTGCCGAAGTCTGATGTGTCTTGAGCGGTGCCCATGTAAAGAACCTTGCTGCATTTTGAAAAGGCAGCTCTTGGATTCTGAGTGTGGGCGGCAGAAATCGTGGGTTTCAAACGTGGAGACTGCCCGAGGTTGATCTACAACATGCTCCCGGGTGTCCGCTCTATCAAGGCCCGCAGGCGCCTTGAGAGAGACATCCTGGTGAGAGAATGGTGATTGAACTCCGAAAAGTTGCAATTGATCACAACTCCTCGTGGATAACCTGTCAGTTGCAATAACTTCCTGGCAGTTGTGGACTTGCATGTTGATCAGAGCAGGTTTCTCAGTGGGGTATGCGTGACCCAAATTCAATGGCTGCACACGGACCAAATGGCTTAATGGGTGACTATTTCGCTGCCGCCCAGTGCCGCCATGCGCCCCTTAGTGCTAAGCATCACTTATTTCTCAAGTGGGCCATTTTGGAAGAAAGGGGCAGAACATCTTCTTGTCAACTGACAGCTGTTTTCTTGACCGAGCCCCAGAAAGCTACGAACCACAACAGGCAACATTTTTATCCGCACGACCTGCACGAATGCGGCCATGGGGATTGGCCTGCGGAGCCTGGCCCGTTTTCTGGGTCGGATTGCTCAGCTCCTGGCTGCAACTTGTTTCATTGGAAGGGGACAATCCTTTTTTGCTTTATCCGCTGTTTGGTCACTTTTCTTGAGTGGTGTAGCACTCAGCTCGCTTTTTTAAATCTCACCTGTAGCTCACAGCGCATCAGAGTCAACCAGGAACACCGCTCTCACACTGAAATGATAGCTGCAAGGCTTCAAGCAGCACCTGGAACTCTGCCCATCCATCCATTTGGTGAGGGCCTTTTGAGTTCATCCCGTCTTCCAGTCTTCCGAAAACGCTGGTTCAGAGTTGCGTCAAAGTCAAGGGGTTGATTCCTTTTCCATTCTTTTCAACCATCGTTGGTTTTCTGAAAAGATTCGGATCCCTGGGTTCAAAATGGTTGGAGGGTACCCTTGACTCCTTGCCTACGATTCGTTCATGTGGCCCCGCCCAGCCCTTTGAGCAGAGGGATGAGTGTCAGCTAGAACGATACGGAGCCCGGAGCCCGGAGCCCAGCTGCGAGAAGCGCCACGAGCTCGTGAAGCTCCGGCAGTCCAGCAAGGACGACCACTTCGACGGTGTCGGGGGCCCCAGCTCAGGTAGGTACTTCTCGGCACTTCCTGTTTCGGTTTACATGTTTTTCATGTTTTTCATGTTTTTCATGTTTGCTTTTTGTTTCTTTTGTTTTGTTCATGTGTTTTCTTTGAAGACATGCGAAGGTGCGAAAGCGGGCGCTTGAATTATGGCGCTTTCAGAAACCCGGACTGGTGAGTCTCGGACACGAGGTCCTGATGTATCTTTGTCGCCGCCTTGGGGTGCACATGGGGGATGAGGCAGACAGGCCTGGAGCAGGGTCGATGGCCCTGGACTCATGGCACGAGACGGCCACTTTTTTGCTTTATGAGCACTTCAATGGGAGTGGGGCAAAGTTTGTCCGAATGTCTGAGCCACCAGTTTTCTGGCTCTCGTATTCCGCCACGGAGTTGGGCTTGGGTTTCTCAACAAATCGGGTTTCAATCCCAAGCGGTACCTGGTGTGTTCAGCCGCAAGGACTCTGGGTTCTTTCGCTCTCAGACAGCCGGAAAGCCTCAATTGGCCTCTGTGAATGGGGGGTTGATTCATCAAAAGGCCCTTTGCATGAGCATCGGCGAAACCGCTGAACAGATTTGATATCAAACACATGGGAAAAGTAACCCGTGGTCAAAACTGGGGCCCCCTTGAAGGGAATCTTGATCAACCCCAAATGGAAAGCAGAAAGACACCCCGAGCTCCAAAGCACCAAACCCATTTGGAGAGGCGCCAATGAAATGACCTGGACAAGCTAAAAGCTCAGATTCCCAGAAAGGGACCAACGAAAAGACCTGGATTTGTTCCGTCTTCCCACTTGGGTCTGCTTTGAGGGCCACCACCTTTTTGTGGCTTCCAAGGAACACATTTCTTTGTTGAGAAACGCCACTTTCTATTTTGTTTTGGGTTTGAAAAAGGAGCACCAAAAACAAAACCAAAGGAGCACCAATTTCTGTTGGGGTCCCGTTGGGTCCCATTTCGGGTCCCATTTCGGGTCCCATGCCGTCGGGTTCGGTCCGTCCAGTGCGCGCCTGGGACCCTGGGAGGCTGGCGCAGCGCCGCGGGGCGCGGCTGGCGCTGCAGTTGCTGCAGCTGGCGCGGGCCTTCGGGCTGAGGCCGGGGAGCTGAGCGGATTTTGGGGGGGTCAACGGCGGGCAAAAGCTAAGCTTCTTTTGAATTCTTCGGATTTTTGTTGGGTTTCTTCTCTTCTTTTTTTGGGGTTCTTTTTGTTGGTTTGCTGTTTGGTGGGTTTGGCTTGGTTGGCCCTTGCCACTTGGTGACTTTAATGGCAAAGTCACCAAAAAGAAAACGGATGGCCTCCTTCTTGCTTCCTGTCGAATGTTTTTCTTTTCGCGTGCCAAGTCCACAAAGAAGCAGACCCCCAAGAAACCTTCAGCGATTTGTGTGTGTGTGTGTTTTTTTTGTTGTGTTTGTTTGCTTGCTAGTGCTCAGTAGGGAGTGACTGAGGGAATAAACCTGGGGATTCCCTTAGAGGAAACCACAAGTTTTGTTTTTCTTTCCGGGGTCATTCCGTTTCTCATTCCCAGCTGAGTAAGGTGAAAATAAGTTTTGTTTCCGGACAGATTTGGAGGCTTTGATCAGACCTCGCACACCTTTGCCTTTTCAGGGCGCTGTGATGGCAAGGAATCGGAGAGATGTGTGCTGCTGTTGGGCTGTTGGCCTGCTGGGCTGTTGCTGTTGGGCTGTTGTGTTGTCGTGTTGCCTTGGGCTGAATCATTTTCAGGACACTGGATTTTTCTTTGCGACGCACCTTCCTTTGCAAGCTTGGAAGCTGAGCTTAAATGGGGAGGTCAAGCAAATTCACGAAGCATGAATCTTGTAGCCTGTTCTTTCAGCCTTGCGTTGGAGGAATGTGAATCCTGGTTACTAAGAAAGAACAGCTGATTGGATTCTGAGATTGGTGCAAGTTTCTGAATCCAAGAGTAACGAGCTCTCCTTTCGAAGGAGTCTTTGGGTGTTGCCCGCTAGGTATCCACAAGGGATGCCAGATGAGGAGCTTGGGAACGACAGATGTCACCGTCATTGCAGTGGGTCAAAAGTACCAAGAAAGGGGACTACTCTCCAAATTTTCAAAGACTTACAGTACCCAAAAGACGAATAGAAGTTGTACTCAAAGCAGTGGATGTTGCCACGGTCAACATTACAAGATATCGACGAGGGGCCCGAGGGTGGGGACTCTCATGGGGATTCACGAACATGTTCCCATGCCCGGGAAAGGAAGAACTTTCACCGCTGTGACTTGCTCCCCCAAATCAAAGTTCCTTTTGTTGCTTCAGAAGAAACTACGCGCGGTTCCAGCTTTCCCAGCACATTCATGGCAATCAGCTTTTCAACTGGAGGGCGGTTGCAGTGGGCACGCTGATGTTTGGTCTCTGGCGCTTATGAGGAGGGCTGTTTCCAAACTGCCAATGCAAGATAGCGTCGGTGAATAGTTGCCGAACTTGTGCTCCAAGCAAACGTGCAACTTCTTGATTCCAGCTTAGCTTTGTTTTCTTCATAGTGTTTGCAAAGACGGCGATGTCGTGCTGCCACTGGGGGAACCAACCCCATTCCCTGGAATGCACCAAGTGTTTTGAGTAGCGGACAGCCATCCTGAACTTGGTGCGTCCTGAGTGTTTTGTCTTGAGACCAGTTCCCCTTTGAAGGGAAAGCACGAGGAAAACCGCCGATTTCTTGCATTCTTGGAGACTAGCGACAACACAGCAACTGCGCAGTGCGACAGCAGGCTGCGCCGGCAAGCGCGTTTGAGGAATCTGATCAGGCTATGGCTTTGCAGGCGGACAGGCATGAATTCAAACAAGATTGGCCCAGAGTGCATGCAAGGGTAAGGCCCCTTTTGCCGCATGTACAAGAGAGGCACACCTATGGCGAGTGGTTCTACGGAAAGGAGGCCACAATGCACAAACGCCAGATGTCATCATGTGTCATGCCATCGCAACCGTGGTGCGTTCATACTAAACTGGGACACCATTCAGCTGCTTTCGAACAAGGACATGTTGGACATTGAGCGACAAGCGCAAGGCCAGCATCTATCACAGCAGACAGAGAGGATTAAAAACCGATTCAGAAACTAAAGCCGATTCATAAACTAAGCTTCGGCAACTAAAAAGGGCGGATTCAGCAACTACGATTCAGCAACCAAAGCGGGCGATTCAGCAACTACATGCGATTCAGAAACTAAGACTCAGCAACTAAATCACCCGAATCAGACACTAAGATTCAGAAAGTAAGATTCAGCAACTGGATTAGGGTGGGTTTAGGGTGGGTTTAGGGTAGGTTTAGGGTAGGTTCAGGCTGGGTTTCGGGTTGGTTTGGGGTTGGTTTGGGGTTGGTTTGGGGTTGGTTTAGAGTGGGTTTCGGTCGGTTTGGGGTGGGTTTAGGGTTGGTTCAGGGTGGGTTTAGGGTGAGCTTAGTGTTGGTTTAGTGTGAGTTTAGTGTTGGTTTAGGTCCCTTCCCATCCCTTCCCGTCCCTTCCCGTCCCTTTGCGTCCCTTCCCGTCCCTTTCCTTCCGGTCTCTGTCGTCCCAAGCCACTGGCCAGTTCAGCTTGCGTGGGAAAGCCACGGCAAGGTTTCCAAGTTAGACCAAGGTGCCATGACTCACTCAGGGCTTTGTGCATTTCAACCAGGAGGCTTCGCTGCCCGAGGGATTACGTACGGAGGCTCAAGGGCAGCGTCGTGGTGATTCCTGGTTGTCTACGGTCCATTTGGATCTTTTTGCAGGTTGGACCCCTGCAAAATCGGGCTTTCTGTTTAAGCTTCCGGGAAAACCAACCAAGAAAGGGGTGTACCAACTGAAAGAAGAGACATGGGAGACGCACTCAATTTGTTCAGAAGAACCAGGGGACTCGCTCGTTTTCTCGTTTGCTTTGGGGGAAACGTTGGTATTTTTGTCCGCTCATGTCTGCGACTGAGTTCATGCCCAGCTGAATCAAGGACTTGAGAACGCGACACTTTTGCAGTGGCTGAGTTTATTGAGAGTGCTCGTTTGTTGTCGTGTTTGCGGACTTTCGATCGGCGCTCGGATTGCGGGGGGTATACATCCTAGGTGTTGGGGACGCTTTGGCCATGACAACGTTTATTCTGTTCTTAGCGGGCCCCCGAGGTCTTCTGAAGAATTGCCTATTTTGAATAACATTTTTTGTATTGCAGGCTTCAGTCCTGCCGATTGCCGACTGCGACTGTCCGGTTTTTTCTCGCTCGGAACTGGCTTTTTTCGCTAAGGAACCAAGAGAAGCTGGATCATGTCTGTGTGTGCGAGGCTCGGCATTGCGTTTGCCTCCGACTGTTCTGTTTGAGCGCTCTTTTTTTTGAGCCCAAGCGAAGTTGCTGACTCTGAGGAGTCATGCCTTCGGCGGTTTTGATGGGATGCCTGTAGGGAAAGCTGAAACTCTTGTCTGGAAAAAGAACATGTTTTTTTGAGGGAGCCCTTTGGCTTTTTGGGGGCCCCCACAAAGACGTACCCAAATAGGGCTTGCCCTATTCATCCGCAACTGTCATGACTTTGAACCATCTACCTGATTCACGGGAATTGGACAAACTGTAGCATCATGAGCATCCCGAGTTGTTTGCCAGGCTTGTCTGAAACTAGTGAACCATACAAATGTTGGTTCGCCTTTGGTTTCTCTTCAAGTCCACCTTAAAATGGGTACCCCGAAAACCGACAAATACTGCTGGGATAGACTCGTACTTTGGTACTTTCAGACTCTCCAGTACAATACTCTTGCGTTAGATCGACACTTCATGTTTTTATCGCACCTGAATTTGTGACCTTGCTTCAAGAATCCCACCTGGAGTTCTCAGCGGCCTTCATTCGGAGGCTTCGACTCGGATTTCGCTGGCTCAGGCATCGCCGTCCTGAACATCATCGCCGGGCAGGAGGCGAGGACCGTCGGTCCGGTTTCCGGAAATGTGGGGTGTATCAAGCACATCCCGCGCAAACCTTGGGTTTTTATACAAACGCATGTGACGGTGTTTTGCGCATAGCGGTTTCAGAAGGTCAGAAATGGAGCCGATCGATCTCTTTCCGCTTGCCCTGGTGCAAGCGGCAGTGCAGCAAGCAGTTTGCGTACGTGCGCATGTGTTGGGTGAGCGTACCCTGTTTTTTAAACTAGCTGAAGATTTGTCGTTTGGATTTGTGGCCCGTTTGAAGGTGAAATGCTCCTCGGCGAAGGATGACAAGGCAGGAAACGTCGTCGCTGACTCGCACGGAGCTGTCTGCGTCCAAGCCACACAGTTTCACCATGAGATACCGACGTGCTTGCGAGGAAGTTCTGACTTTTTGCACGGGAACCCTTTTGAGAGCCTTAGGATTTGGACCCCCCAAAATTGTAGTTGTCCTTTCGGATCCTTTTGGTCTCCCTGTAAAACCACGAAAAAAGGGGGTATACCAGCTCAAAAAATAGACACGGCCATTTAACCTAAACGCACAGTGGCTTACTCCCCTAGAACCCATGTGGGTGCCTCGAGTGGCTTTGCCATGGACCTTGGGATCGATGGGAAGCAGTTCGTCCCCAATTGGCTTTTAGTAGCACGTTTGCAACTAGGAATTCCGTCTTGTGAGCAAAGGAGCCAAGTTCCTTTCGGCTCGGCCATCAGAACACAGGCTCGGAAGTCGCTTTTTCTTCTGCCCCTCGAGGAGGATTTTTCTCGGGATCCTTTCGGCATGGAAAGACACCTGCTCGGTGAAAGACACCCCCAGCTTTTGGCTTTTTGAGTCCAATTCTCAGGCGGCGAAGTGGAAGCTGGCGGCGCAGGGCATCCGCAAGTGCGTTGAGGAGCGGACTTGGGGATGCAGTGGCAGACCCCCTCCAAATCACATGGCTGTGGTTGTCAAAACCAATGGGATCCCATTTTGGCGTCACCCATTTTAGAACCTATTTTGGTGGGGATTGGGATGGTCACTGGGGGTACGATTTGGCTTTTGACCCATGGCCACATACCCACCTGTTTTTAAGGGCATCATGTTGACCCCTGACTAAAAGTAGGCACTTGGCATGGGATGTTTTTCCAAAACACACACTGAGCGCGGGGAACCCAAAACCCGAACCACACCCCAAATCAGGGGTTTGCTTCTGGGGGTGAGTCGGCCCCTGTTTTGGCTGGCGTTCAAAGGAAAGCCAAAACGAAATCTTTCCTCTTGGCAAAGGTACCCTGTTCTTGGAAACACCGAACACTTCACAGCAGGGTTGAACGGAGTTGGCGAGTCAGACGCGGAGGACGTGATCGGAAATTAGGCATTAATTGATTCGATCTCTTTGCTTGTTCCGTACACTCCGAATGAGGCGGATCCCTTAAAGGATACTTTGGACTTTATAAAACAGGTGTGTTTCGCTTGTTTTTGTTTTTGTGTGAACCAACACCAGTCCCACTTACTCTGATAGGTTTGTATAGCAACCATGGTGCTTCTCAAAGTAGGGGACTCTAAGAATGGTTGGCTTCCTGGTTTCCCTTCCAACATGTTTCAGGTTACCCTTGCTTGGTTGTTTGTATTGGTGGTTTGGGGATTTGAAGCCCAGGTGGGAAACCACCAACCAATCCAAGCCACCAGCTGAACCTTTCGGGGTGCTTTGACGATCCATGCCTTCAGCGCCGATAGGATGCGCTGCTCCGGGCTTTGCGTTGCCTGCCCTTCGGTCTGTCAGCCCACCGCAAGGAGCGAGGGAACCATCTGAACCGCACACCCTTTGTGGCTCCATGTAAGTGTGTCTTTTTGATGTTGGAGCCCCTTTTAGGGTTGGTTGAAAGGGAAGCCAAAAGGAGCACCACCATGTTGTGGGGTACACCTATTTTGAAACAAACCCACGTGTCTAGTAGGCAAACAAGGGACGCCACCCTTTTAAAAACTAAAAGGAATCAAAAGGAACATGGCGAAGGTTTTCCCACTATAGGGAAAACTGGGATCTGGTTGGTTTTGAGGCAAAGCCAGTTGTCAGACGGACCAAGTCCATAAGCGAGTCTTGTAAACGTCTCGGATCGCTTGTACCAAAGGACAATCCAGAAGAGCCCCATTTGTTAGAACCCCTCTATGTCACACTTTAGGGTCAACCAAACCTGGTTGACCGAACTACCTGGTTGCCTTTCACATCAAGCTACAGCGGGCCATCCCTGGTTTTTCTGGTTGAAAGAATTGGGGGACCCTCTTTGCCCCTTGAAACCATCAGCGCTTGACTCGGCCCAAACCATGCAGCGAAGCTGCTCGAAGCCGAGAGGCACATGGCAGATAATTAGATCGCCAAAATCAGCTTGCCCCTCTGGCGAGCGGACCATGCTTGTCGGCTTGCCATTGTTCTGTGGTGAGTTCACTTGGGAATGCGATGATGTTGGGGACAGGGTAAGACAGTCCTGAGCTTGCAGGTACTGTTCGCAATGGCTAAGGCGACAACACCGTGAGGTTTGGTCAGCATAGGGCTCCCCTTCGAATGTTTGGTTTCCTTTGAGTTTCCGTTGAATTAACAAGCCCAAAAACGATCCACCATTTTGAAAAGCTCCCATATGAATCTGACCTGAAGTGGCAGATTTGTGTTAGATCAGCCAAACACTCAGATAGTAGCGGCGTTCTCAGAAAGCAAGTTGCCCAACGAAGAAGGGTCACATTATCTCAGCTGGCCGTAGCAGCAAGCTGCAGGGCCTCGTTTTGGAGAACAGTTTGCAACTGAGAGGAAGTCCAAGACTAGGTGACGGATCCTTATTTGGAAACTTAGACATATGGCTTCCAGGAGCTGCCGCTGATGGTCGACTCTTTGTTGGAGCGCCTCGGTCTGGGAAGCTTGGTTCAGTGGGCCAAAAGTCTGGGAGATGGGTGATATATGGCTGTGGGTCAAGAATAGGTACCCAAAAGGAAACCCTGGTAAATGGAACCGGTCCCCATATGATATATGATATATGCGTGTGAATATAGGAGATGGGTGCATATTTCTGCTATGCCCTATTTTGTGGGGGGATGGTTGTGTGATCATTTCTTGCCCCAGCTGGACATCTCATCATTTCCTGGCCTAAAGGGATGACTCGCCTTTTTTTTTTTGGGGTGGGGGGTTGCCAATCGTTTTGGAGTGTTGGTGGGTTTATTTGGGATCTGGACCAACAAAAAGCCTGGGATTGTTGGTAGGTTTATTTGGGATTTGGTTTATATGTGTGATTTTATTTGGGATGTTGTTAGCTCCTCCTTCTGGGATGACCACAAAAAAGCCGCCGCACGTGGCAAGAGGCGAGAGAGATCACCTCAGGTTCTATCCACAGCTCTTGGCCGCTGGCGCGCCAGGCGAAGGCAAGCGAGGGGATGACGAAGGAATGTCGGCCCCGTATGCATTTCAATCAGCCTGTTTTTATATTATATATATCTATAAAACGGGGTGGGGTGGTTGGTGGTTTTCGGCCCCTCCGAAAGTGGTCTGATTCCCCCACATTTCACCCAGGGACCCCCCTATTCAAAAACTGGTTGGTTGATTGATAGGGGGTCAACATTACCGGATATTCCTCTTGCGATCATGAGGATGTGTCCTTCTTTGTTCTCCAGCAAACAAAATAGCAAAACACCCACAATCGTATTCTAAGCACTTCGGCCGCTGCAAAAACGCATCTCACATTTCTGTGTTTGGATTTGCATGGACCTTTGTGGAATGGGCCTCCGATTGTTCTGCATTTGTCGGGCAGCGACCACTGTATGTATATATATATATATATACTGTATACATATGTGGATGGGTCTTCTTTTCAGGCTACGCTTTTTGTGGTTTAAAAGGGACAACAAAAAGGACAACACCTATTCTGGAGGTTCCCTGAAAAGGACCGCCAAAAAAGACACAAGTGTGGGTTTGCATATATTTAGACATACACATATATATATATATATATACATATGTACAAAAACACATACATATATATATATACACATACACATATACACGAACACACACACACACATATATATATATATATGCATGAACATATATATATATATACATACATACATACATATATACATGCATACATGCATATACACGCATATAGGTTAGACCCTTTCTGCAGCTGTGCCGGCTCGCTCTTCAGGTAGCGACCTGGAGCCGGACCAGGTGACTACCCGGCGCCGCTTCGTTTTCGGCGTGGGATCCGTCACGAAGCTGGGGCGGTTTTTGGCTTCGGGTGGTCAAAGGGTGTGCCACCCAGGGGGAAATTCGTTTTTGGGATATTTGGGTTGTTTTTTTAGTTGTTTTTCATCTTCTTTTTTTCCAGCCTGTAAAATTCGCTTTTGACCACTCAGCGGGTGACTCTGAGAACGGAAGTTGACCCTGGACAATTCGCTTTTGCCATACTATTCAGGGATGACAACTTTTTGACGGCAAAAGTTTTGTGAGGCCCAAAAAAATCGGAGTTTCCATGTTCTTGCTCAGATGCCCTTGCAATTTGATGTTTTAGATAGTCTTTTGGATCACATGATTCACGTGAGATGTGTGCCATGTTCAAAAGATCAGTTCCTGTACTGGGGGTTCACAGGGACAGGTGGATGGTTATCCACCTCCGTTACAACCATAATACTGGTTCCTATTGAGGGAACCGTGACAATTGCTCGGATTTAGTCTCTGGACCACTTGTGGAGGAATGCTGAGATCCGTGGGATAGGAAACAAGCCGGCATGGAAGGAAGGGCCTTGCATGAGGCAAATCTTTCTGAGTCAAAGTGGTTGCTAGCCGATCCCTCTTTGAAGTGGGCGGATCACCTAAGCAAGGCTTCGGCTGGCTAAAGCAGTTCTGCGCGTGTACCTGTTTTGACGCATGACATCGCCATGGGGCAAAAAAAGCCTTGCGCCGCTCCGCATGAGTCTCCTTGGTCGGTTCGAAGCTCTGCCGGAAGTTGTAAAGGGGCGCGGGCCTCAGAGAAACAAAGCGTGTCGGAGCTTCGGGCGGACGTTGGCAAGATGAGTAGAGCCTGGTGCAGTGGGAATAGATGAGCACCTCAATGGTGTTTGGATTTTCAACATGGCCCGGGGGACATGCCTCTTAATGCTTCCAAACAGATGAGACATAGTGAAGATCAAGGGGGAGCAGAGACCATCATAGCAGTGTTTCCAAATTCTTGAGATGACACATCTTCCCTCCAAATTCCTTGACTTCGACAACTTTCAAGTTTGCGTTGATTGCTGTGTTGTCGTGAGCAATGTGTGGTGGTTTCCAGACTCGTGAGTACATCGAACAGTGACATTCTTTGCTGTGTTGTCGTTGGATGAACCTCAACATTTTCAAGTTTCATTTCCAGGAGTTCGCTTCTGATACATACAGCATCATGCTTCAAAAACGCGCCATCTCAGAGTCGGTGGCTTCCAAAAAGTCGCGGCTCGGCGCTCGGCGGCTCGGCTCTGAGGCTATAGCTGTGCTCATGGCTCCTGGCAAGACAACTGATGAGGCCGGGGAGAAGAAGAGTTGCGACGTTGAAGTGGTTCTCGAAGGGCCTTGACTGCTATTGGGTTGGGTCTTTAGACTTTAACTTTTTGGGAAATCAAGGGGGTTTCCCACTGAACCCACAAAAAGTCAAACTTTTTGCAGAGGGCGGGCTCAGAGTGGCGCGAGGCAATCAGACTCTGAGTTTGGTAGACCTCGAGTTGCTGGCAAATTGTTGGTTTCTCTCCGCAAGCTGAGCTAATCTGGGTGAATGGCGGGCTCAAACCATGCAGTGGTAGTGTTCCACTCTGAGGCCGCAGATAATGTCTGCCGAAGTCAAAGCATCATAGATCGATGGCCAGCTTGCAGTGCAACTTGGGCTGTCACACAGCGTCCCTTTCAAGACCAAACGATCGGCCTCCGACAAGCGAGCAGCGCCGGCCCTACATGGTATAACAAGGATTATAGTAAGGCCCGTAAAAGCCTTAATAACCATGGTAGAGACCATGGCGGCAGAAACCTGCTCAATCGTCAGACAAACCCGATTGCTTCGAGCTGCCAGAAGAGATCGGCCGAGTGAAAACAATTGTCGACAAACCCCAAACGAGTTGTAATGAGCTCCGATCGTTTGCGGTCTTTGATCGTTTGCACCAGGAACACTCGTGTTTGTGTGTGGCATGAAGGGACCCATGTGTTGGAACCCTTCAGGGTCATTTTGGTTGAACCAATTTCCTGGGTATCATCAAGCTACACCTGGCTACTCCTGGCTACCCCTTGGCTACCTACCCCTCGTTGCTGTTTCTGGTTGAAGTTTAGTAGGACACCAACACAACTTGCCCCGCATATTGTGTGGCTCTAAGCTGCACGAGCACAGAAACAGTTGCCAAACGAAATTCGGTTTGCGCCTTTGGTGAGTAGACCATGCCTGTCAGCTTGTCATTGTTCCGTGGTGAGTCCATTTGGGTATGCATCGAGGATGATGGTAAGCAAGCCCTGAGTCTCCCACGGTTTTGTTTTTTCGGTTGGCGCACACCTCTCGGCTCGGTCTCTTTTTTGCCTGGTTGGTAACCTTTGAGTTTCCCTTCTAGAAACAAGCGGGTTTGTGTTTCCTTGCTAAAAAGGCCCTAGGCTCAAGGTCCGGGGTAGGCGGGTCGGCGTACATTTCAGGTCGGCGCTACGTTGGCATGGTGCCCGGACCTTGGGCCATTGGGGAAAGAGGGCGTCCGTTTTTGATTTCTCGGCTTCCAACAGCACAAGGCAAGAGATGCCCAAAGGCCGGCAGGTGGGCGACGGGCCATTTGGCTGTGGCTCAAGAAACCCCTACCAAAATGGAACCCTGGTAAGTGGAAACATGGACCAAAACCTGCGTAACCCCTCCTGTTTAATTTTGAGCCACGCCCATTGCGTTTGGCAAACACGGGTGTTCTGTGCATTTTTGGATCAAATGATGAGATCCATCGGATCGGAATGGATCGCAAGCTCTCGCGCCTGTCGCCCATGTGCTGAAACTTGCCTTGAAGCCAAAACGCCGAGGCTACGAGCGTTGCAACAAGGCGGAGAATTCTTACGTTTTGAAGGCCAGGGCGTGTGGTGTGAAGGTGTGAATGGGAGGTCCCATCGAACCTGATCATTTGCCTTCGGAGGGATTGGTGCGCCCGATTGATCAGCGACGGTTGAGCCCAACTGACGAGACCGGGCCCGGTAGGAACGGCCTGAATTTTAGCCGCGTGTTTTTTTGGGCAGCGTTTCGGGCTTCCGCTTGATTGCTGGATCTTATGGCATCCCTTTGGTCGCTAGTACTAAATACATGAAAAATATATGATAATATATGCATATTTCTAGATGTGGCCCAACAAAGGTCAATCCGGCTGCACACCCAATTATAAATATATTATTATCATGTTGAATATCTATTTTTGTTACTAATGAAGTATCATTTACAATAATCAAAGGAAGTTTAACCAGAAACTTGGAAAGCACTGCAACTAATTGAGCTAGCTGCTTTGACATGAAGCCATGACAGATAGCTTAGCTTGACACATAGCTTTTCAACATGGTTAGCGTGAGATAGATAGCTTTGACAAATAGGTAGCTTGACAGAAAGCGTTAAGATGCACACGGATGTTCCAAAAAGCTAATAAAATGCTGATATCAGGAGAGCTGGGGGTTAGCAAGGTGCAGACACGTTGGCGCTGTGCGTGCATTGGGCTTCCGGACAGTGTGCAACCACCTCGGCTGCGACGCCTGTACGGAGGCGGTCTCGGAGCGGGTGCAGAACGGGTTCGGGACGGTCCCGGAGACGGGCCCATTGGCGCTCGGATCTCGTGCTCTGCGTTCTCTTGCGACTGCGCCGCGTCGCCCAGCCGAAACGCCAAGGCGACATGCAGCACTCGACGCGCTTGGTAAAGATTCTCGCGTCCAGCTTCGCCGTATGATCCCACACAGTCGCCTCCACGGCCGGACTTTCACGCGGCCGTGCGCAACTTGGCGTTGCGCTCCGTCGTGGCACACGACGAAGCGTATTCATTATTTCTCTGGGCCGACTGGCCTCGGGCCGCGCGCAACGCCTTGCAAGTGGTGCATGTGCGCGAGGCTCTGCTTACCTCCTCGGGCTCGGCTAAGCCTCTCCTGTGCCTGCGTGCGGCCGCTTCACTCCTGGCTGTCCATGATCTGCTTGTCAGACGCAAGCTTGGATGACGCAGGGCAAATCACGGCAGATCAGGATCTGCCAATCCAGCGCGCGGAGCTCTTACTGTAAAGCTCCTGTGCAGCAGTCCAACGAAGCCGAGCATGGGGCGCGAATCATCTTCGAGCGTGCAGACGCCACGCCGCGGCCTCATGTGGGTGGTTAGTGTCAGAAACAGTTTGGCCAACGCGCGACTGCGCTGTTGCGGGTGGTTGCATGTTGTGTTCGACACGGACGGCGAGCCTTCCTTGCGTCACTGCCAGGACGGAGATATCGAGCCGTTTGCCCGCCGTCGGGCGTGGCAGCTTTCCTTGGGCTCCCAGCCCGCCGTAAACTCAAGCGCCGGCAGGAAGACGCCGTGGCAATGACTCCGTTGACTAAGGTTTCCAGCGTAAAATGGCTTTGACCTCGCCTAGCTTTCGTGCTTGACGCGCGTGCCGTTTCGGGCCGCGCGTTCGTGTCGGCGCGCGCCGCGTCGAGCCGCGTGCTCGCGCGGACTGCCGCAGACGAAGAGAAACGCGCAGCTGTCGTGTTTGACACGCGTGCCGTTTCGGGCCGCGTGTTTTAGCCCAGACTACGGCACGGCTTGAGCAGACACAAAGAAAAGGCGCTCCCAGGGGGGAGAGTCGTGGAGAGATGAAAGTCGAACTGGCAGCGCTCGTTGTTTTTCTTTGCGTTGGCGCACTAGGATGAAAGCTTTGGAAAAGGACAAGAAAAAGACAGCTGAAAATAGCACAAGACCAAAAGAGAGAGATAGAGAGAGAGAGAGAGAGCGAGAGAGAACAGAGAGAGCGAGAGAGAGAGAGAGAGAGAACAGAGAGAGGGAGAACAGAGAAAGACAGGGAGAACAGAGAGAACAGAGAGAACAGAGAGAACAGAGAGAACAGAGAGAACAGAGAGAACAGAGAGAACAGAGAGAACAGAGAGAACAGAGAGAACAGAGAGAACAGAGAGAACAGAGAGAACAGAGAGAACAGAGAAAACAGAGAGAACAGAGAGAACAGAGAGAACA